GGGCCCCAATAATAAGGACTATAGTTTTTTGGGGTCTATATTGGGGTCCCCTTATTTTGGGAAACTACCACATAGCAATCCTCTTGCCCATCTTGAAGCATTCAGATGTGGGAGTTTTCAAAAATTAGGGGGTACCAGTTTGGGGGTCCCCATAAAAAGGATTATTGGGTTATATGGGGTAATATAGCGGTTATTTAGGGATCATGGAAAAAATTGAAGCGACTATTTAGGGTTTAGGGTTTCCCAAAGCTAGGGGTTCCTGTTTTGGGGTCCCCATTATAAGGACTAGAGTATATTGGAGGTTTATATTGGGGTCCCCCTGTTTCGGAAACTACCAGATGAGTAGTATTTTATTTGGGGATACTACGGTACCCATTGTAGAGTAAGATTATATCCTCCTTTTGGGGTAGTATTTTATATAAGGAATATAATCTTACTAGGTTCAACCACAAAAAACACTACTCAGATGTATCCCTGTGCCCAGTCCTTGAACGCGCCGCTGCCTCTGCTTGCCCTCCGCGGGGCCGGGTGCTTTCTGCTCATCTATAATATACTAGAACATACAGCAATATATTATAATACACTGTAGTATACTATAATTGGTTTAATGTATTATAATGGATTATCATCTACATAATCTGCATTAATATATACTATACTGTACTATGATACTATAATCTGCTACATTATAGCTGTTATATTATCTACTATATCTATAATGCATTTTAATATATTCTGATGTACTATAATCTAATCTAGTGTAACTCACTATACTCTAATCTACATGAGCGACCTGTGTTTTCAAAGCAGGCAGGTTCAAGGTGAGGTCCTCTTGTATTGATGCACTAAAGTCTGTAACCTCTTTATACCCACAGTTTAGGCTTTAAGGTTTAGGCTTTAGGGTTTAGGATTTAGGGTTTTTGGGTTTGGGTTTGGGGTTTAGGGTTTAACCCCTACATACCTGTATATAACTCCAGTGTCCATTTCATTTTCAATTTTGTTTTCCATTTGATTGTCCATTCTTGGGGTAATCTACACCTAGTTACAGCTAGCCTTTGAAGCCCGTGCGCCAACCATGCGAATGTTGCTCTGCCCAGAAAAAAAAACGGGTTTGGAGTGCATTGCGTCTGGCTGAACTAAAGCCACGACTTCATTAATCTGGGTTGCTGTTAAGGAACTTAAATTAAATTACTATATTGGGGAAACCTTTTTCATTTACTGTATATACCCATTATAGTAACTTAATTTAA